AAAAATTGGATTACAGGTAGTCTTAGTGACCTGAGAGCGTGACCACAGTGCCCAAGTAACAATTGCTTGAAGCCGGTCACACACGACCATTTTGTCAGTGATTCTAGTGTTAGCTCCGTACTTGTTGAGACCTTACCGCCAAAGACGGATATCCATGAGATAAGGCGGGATGTGCATTTTTACGGTCGACCTTTTCTAGCCCCACCTCTCCTTGTGGGAAGGCAGCATCGTTGTTATGCTGGTTGTCTGAAGGAAACATCATACTGCTGCCACACCTCTGTACAGACAGCAGTACGACTTCACCTTCGCACATTGGGTTTGTTGCTTTTAGTCTTACCGTTCTTCAACCGACCCGTCTGGCATGGTAGGACCTTGAAGAGTGGTTATTCTAATCAGTATAGCTCGATTGGTTCATTACGATAGGGAATCCCGACCACCTCATCAAGGTAGCAACAACGGTAGAGAAAATCAGGCTGGCTTCAAACGTGGTAGTGAATTTATTAACTACATATTCACTGTTCGTCATGTTTTAGAACACAGGCATGCTTATCGGCGTCCGAAAATGATAGCGTCTGTCATTCAAAGGTGTACCTCAGAATTACATAAACTTTTTGAAGGCTCTTTACTCGAACACTACTAGTCAAGTCAGAGCTTACGGCGAACCGTCATGGGGTGTCGTAGGTGTATACACTCTCTATCTTCCGTTAAACAATGACATTAAAATAGCTATATATCTTTTTTCGACGAAATACTATATCCTTATACACAATCTTTCCTTTATATATTACCACCATTGAATTAACTACTTCTATGAATTCGACGTTCATCTTGCTGTGCTAATGATGTATGGCAACTTAAACCGATACATATATGTGCCTGGCCTACGTTGTAGCTGACTGACTGATCTTCTAAACAAGCTTCAATACATAATCACCGTTTTTGAGGAAACATACATTACATTAAGTATCAAGAATAGCACTACTTAGATTGTTCCAGATAATATCGTCTTTGAGAATAGAGTAATTTTAACATCAAACTGATGGTGAGAAAATCTACTGATTTCTCAGTCTATTATTTCGCTTCTTTTTCAACTTTATGCAACTGTGTGCTTAAAGGCTTTTCTGCTTCGTACTTTAATAATTTGAAAGTAATCATCTCTGAACTCATATATGCCTAGTTCGAAACTTTCTTCATTCACTTTAATTCACGTGTCTGAGTTCCATCATTGACCATTAAATAAAAAGTGTGGCTCAAAGTTAATAATACAAACTAGTACTAGAGTTATGAGTTTCACTATAATTATCTAACCAGCCCCACTAGCCGTTGTACAACAACTAGAAGGTGTATGAAATGTATTAAGCGAAAAGTATATGAAGGCTACATTTCACTTCCCATAGTTTTGAACGAATGGATGACATTTTTAATCTTACATACTTCTAACTATTATTAACATTCTCTATCATAGTTTATCAATGACGTACATATATGTCGAACTAAATCACATAAATAAGTTATCATGTACAAGTTGTATCTACAAGGTTTTCAAATGAATTCAAGAAAATGGAATGCTTAAAAAGAAGAGCTGAATGTAGTTTGAAGAAAGGAATGATCATATCAAATACTTGTAATTTGACCATTTAATAAATATTTTCTACTAATATACTTGAAAATACTTAAACTACTGAAATACTGAAAAAGTGAGTAGTGAAGTTCACTAATTAGAGTCCAATTACTTAAATTTGAACAAACGTATTTGACGATAATAATAATAATAAGTATTATTATTATTATTAACAAACATTGAAAAACTGAGTTTCCCAAGTTGAGAGATAAATTTTCTTTTTTATGATTGTAATCATTAGTAACTAACTACTTACTAAGTTGACTGGAATCACAATATTTATGCGAAAAATAGCACAGATAGAAAAACTAATGTCACAGATGTTATTTTATCCAGTATGTGAATGAAGAACAGTCAACTAGAAAACTACATTATTTTGTAGTGGATTATCTTCAAAATAATTCCTAAGGCTTTGTATATCAGTCGTTCTGATAGCCTTTATTAAATAAATCTCAATGCAAAATAAATTTCAGAAGATAATACGAAGCGTCGACTACAGAACACAAGAATACAAAGCCAATTCGAGAAGAAATGCTAATGAGAGCGAGCAAATACAAAAGTGAATTAAAGTCAAATGATTTGATAAAATTCAGAGACGATTTACCGAGAAATTCGAGCAACTAATACTTAAACGAATAAGAGAGATGTGTATGGGGCCATAACACGCGATCAGGCACACAGATGTAGATGTAGATGAATTTTTACTGTTCGAGCCACACCGTCTGCTAAATAAGTTAATTGAAGGCGTTGACAAAATTAAACGTAAACAAACTTAAATGTCAGTGAGGTACATTGGTTAAACAATGATTGGAATCCTTTAACTTAAGCTAATCAGAAATATAGCACGGCCTGTGGTGTTTGCTACTTATGTCTTTCGATATAAGTAGTATGTAACACCAATGCCTGGCAGCAGAAACCTAAGAAGACCCAACTGAAGAAAACAGAGAGGGAAATAGAAATGAAATGAGAATTGGAAGAATTATACACAGTGTAAAGGATGATTAATGGAAGATTTGCAAATGAAGTATTTAAAGTATGATTGTCACATCTTAGCAAAGAACTTTGCAATTTTGCACTAAACTATACGTTGGCTTTCCCCACCTGAGTCTTCCCTTACTACAGGCCTAGTATCTGTGCCATTTTCAACTCTACAGGAGTGACGTCCATTGACACAACCATGCAGACGTAAAATAGTTTTACGCCAACAATCTGACTCCAAGATCATCAAATGATACGGATTTTAATAAAATATATATCACATTCACTTTGTACATATTCTTTTAACGTATCCCGTTAATAACAACATAGATATTAGAAGTCTAATTCAGAAGTATTTGAAGAACAAATATTTCAGACATTACTTAATTCAGACGAATAATAAGAGATGAAAAGAAGTGAATGTGAACTGAAATGACAGAAATGTCGGACTCATTGAGTAATAGGTGACACAGTCTTTATATACATGAAAGAGATACATTACAGTATACAAAAATATACGTAATAGAGATACACATTTATAAAGCAGAGTTAAGGTTTCAAGTGAGTAATCTGCAAAGGCAGATATAAAGGTGATATAATAAATAAAAAGAATCCAATAATTGATCTGTTCAAAGTTTTGAAAAAATCAGGTAGGTATGTGGTAACAGAGATTAGCCACAATAGTATAACTTTAAGGGTTTAAGCTATTACACTTAACGAAAGAGAAAAATGATTCTCAAAAATATTTATTTATTTATTTAAACACTTAAACACTGGTACAAGGAGGCACCAAATAGATATGCGCCATATATATCATTAGATTTGTGTGAGGGCTGGGATAATGCCAGGATGCGCAAACCGAAACAGGTGATTATCTTAGGAGGGCACACCGGGAGCCTTCAACCTAAAGGTCTGATTAACAGGTAGTGGAGCAACATCAGGAGATGCAGTCCCACGGTAGCCGGTCACCAGCAGTAGGTTCATACGCTATTTGTTACTTCAGGATACTGGAGCCCATGTGCAACAATGGTTTTCTAACTCCCCTAAGTGGACTCTCCGTGTCCAGTAATCCGGTTAAAGAGCCACACATTCGCTTTTCGTCCTCTCAATTTTGTAAACAACACCGGTGCAGCGAGAAGGCAGTGAGTAGGACTTCTCTGGCAGTGGTTGTATGCATGTGGTCATGTGAGAGAATTTCGAGAGGGATAGCTGACTCTCCCCACTCTCGGCCGTACCGCGGCATTCGGGGATAATCATGTTATTGGTCGATCTTCAGGAAATTGCATTTTACAACAGCATAGTGATACTAAACCAGCTACTCTATACTATATATTTATATACTATATATAAGGACAAATTTTGTTTCTTAGGTTATGAAGGTGAGGGAAATTAACTGAAAAATTATAACAAGGAGTGTGTTAGTAGGAAGATTTTCTCACAATTCTAAAATTACATGTAAAAAAACATTTCGTAAACATTATGTAGTGGGTATGTTACATTTAGATTTGCAATAAAGAGGGAAGTTGTTGTAACTGATATGAATGAAATAATGATAGGCTATATGTCTTGAATATGTCAACTTGCTGGATGATAAACGACGTAAATGATTTGATTTGCTCTTAGCTAAATCCTAATGGTATATGCTCTTGAATGAGACGAGAAAGAGCCATCGACAAGCAATCAAGCTATCTAACTTCATTGATGAGTAGATTGGCATTATATACACCACTAAAATAAATCAGTCATAAATACTTATCTTTTATTTGAGACAAACAATAGGAATGGATTTGTTAGGTTATGAGAAGATTTGTTGTGTGAGTCATGGAACAACAATATCAAAAAATTTATTCACTCGATAAAAGTTTACAATTGCACCAATCAATCTGTCATTTTCAGATAATTCCTAAGGTCTAAATCCCATAACAACTCAATTGGGGGGAGGGGGTTTCACTATACTTTGTCAATGTTTCAAAGATATTTTAGACCACATATTAACAACTTACGTATGTCTACTACATTCTTAAAAAGTAAGTAAGTAAGTAACTACATTCTTAAGGGAAGTTTTATAATGATACACTAATACATAGTAAATGGTTGTGCAACTTGAAAATTCAAAGAAAACTGAATAAACTGATGTAACTAAAACTTTTATAACTAGAATCAATTTTACTGGAAGAGTATTAACGCTTATATAAACTGAAATATTAACGTTTCAGAAGGACAGTAGGTAAAAACACACTGAATATCTGTGTTTATTTTTCAGAACTTCAATTACTTTTAAGTATTTAACAGACAAGATTAGAGAAACGTTTACGATAAACAAATATAATTAGAATATTGTGTTTCAAACTGATGAAAAAATTATAATAATCGTTCAAATTAAATCATAAGTATTACTTACTACAGCAACAGCTGGTGTTGTTAATATTTCATTCAATGAAACCACAGTAATATAAGCAACATTAGCTAATGTATAGACAATAGTCACAACAAGACATGAGAAGACAATAGCAATAGGTAAATCACGTTTAGGATTTTTCATTTCTTCAATCATACAATTTAAATAATTCCAACCAGCATAAGAGAATAAACCAGAATAGAATGCTTTGGCAATACTTCCAGGATTCCAATTAGATCCTTCAAATGGTGATTGAAATTCTTCAACGTGACCTGGAATTTGAGAAATATTGGAATATTAGTTCAAAAAAACTCCACAGTATTTATGTCTCGATAAAAATTGTGAATGCTAACTCTTGAGAGCTATTTATTGACCATTACGATGGATATATTTCTGTTGTATAATTGTTAAGTAACTAAACTATACATATTCATATTCCTATTATTATGAACTTTATTTTGACTGATAGACTATTATTATACGATTTAGCGTTCTTGAGTTATCCCCAGTCTATTAATTACAGTCTCCCACATTCACAGCCACTTTTGGCTAAGTCTTGTACAAATGTTGTTTTCCAATTTGTGGTGTGATGTGGTCTGTTTGGTTTGTATATAAACCCAGTTTGTTTAAAATACATGATTCATATCGCAGGGGCCGGGATTGGTTTCCTGGACTTAATAGGAGAGGCTAGGCAAGAAGCAGGACCGATAAGGACTCTGGACTGCTTGTACGGGTTTTATGCGTCATTGGTCCGATCGATAATTCACTGATCTCTAATTGGCGGTATCATTACGTATACATTAACAGAGCACACAGGTCACAAGTTATAACATGAAGATCTAGTCAGTTAGTGAGTACTTTTTACAAAACGCCACTAGTTGAATAACAATGACTTTCCAATTTTCAAGAGGAGAAAACTTTCTATTGAATATGAAAAGAAACCTTGGTTTCACGTAAACAACATTACGAATTCAGGACTACTCTGAATCATGCATACACTTTTTAACTATTTAACCCTTTCTCCTACTGTTCGACGGAACACTGTAAATTAACCGTTCCATCACGAGTACATAGTAAATGATGCTCATTTGTGACTCCTGGGAAAACTCTTGTCTCTATTCTTCCTTTATTAACCACCTCCACGAATAATCATTACTTGTTCTTCTACTTTATCCACTATTTTTCATAACCTGTCTCCACCAGTGACCCTCTTAACTTGACCACAATATACTGCATTGCTTCTAATATAAAGATTGATTCGAATGTAGTCTCAAAGTGTAACTAACTAAAAGAATATATGCAAAAAGAGCATTTCCTTGTGTCCTATTGAAATGTTAGAAAAGTTAGGAATTGTATGAAATTAAACCTCAAATCAAAGTTACAATTATTAGACTTAATATCATCCGATTTTTATCTTCAATAATCTGTAATAGAAAGTAAATTTGTTATGCAATATATACATATAATATATCTACTCAAATTCAACTTACCTAAACCAATTTGTACAAATCCTGTTATAATAATCATTAATAATGCTATTATTTTTGTATATGTGAAAATATCCTGTACACGTGTAGACCAACGTACAGAGACAGAGTTTATAAATCCCAGGATCACTATAGCAATAATTAATAAATACTAAATGAGTGAAGTAATAGTAATATTGAAAGAAGTTTACGTTAAAAAACTGATATCAAATAGTGAAGAACTAGTGAATATTCAGGAAGGATTATGCAAATATTTTGCTCTTGTCTAGTACTTTTCGAAAGTGCACAATAACCATTAAACAATGGATGTAATTTATGACGTTCTGTACAATAGAATCTCCTAGATAGTTTGAGGCTTTGTATCCGAACCATAATAATGTTGTAGGTCTGTAACGCTAATAAATGGTAGACAAGAACAAATTACCTATGAAGTATTTATTAACTTCAATAATCCTTAGTTAGTGAAAAAATGATTGTCGAACTGAGCCAGTATGTATAAAAATACAAGATTATTTGTTTCTTTACATATTTATCCCCGTAGAGATATTGATTAATGTCGTAACATTTTTATTTACCGTTATTATCATGATAGGATTCTTCTTTTTATAAGGTACAGATTAGTATATAAACTGCGGTATAAATTGTACTATAACTCCGCCTGGAGTCCCTCCGAGGGCTACTGCCTCTCCCAAGCCCGGGTGAAGGAGGAGGGTTGGGCATGGGGTTAGCGTCCCGATCCCGTAGAAAACTAACTCGCTAAAAAAACGCTAACCAGAAAGAAAAATAAATTGTACTATACAAATTGTAGCTTAGGCCTTTTACTGCTACTACTACTCGATAATTATGATGAACTGGTATTAATAGACGGGAACCATTTAAATTGGATGAGTCAGCTAGTCAGTCAGTTACAACGTAGGACCAGGCACATATATGCATCGGTCCAAGTTGCCATACCTCATTAACACAACAAGATGGACACCGGATTCATAAAAGTAGTTAATTCAGAGGTGGTAATATATAAAAGAAAGATTGCATATAAGGATATAGTACAGGAAGAAAGAATTAGTTCATAGAAAGAAAATAATTCCTAATAAACCTAAAATAAACTGAACTATGAGAAGCTGTAGCTTTAAAGGTTAAGCAAATGCAGTGCCATAAAAGTATCACAACATAAAACTAATCGTTGTAACTGAGACCAAGTGATTCATAATTAAATAATAAATTTCTCTTGATTTTGTAGTGGCTGATACTGTGTCGAGCTCATATAGGTTATTCTAGCATCTGGACAGACCAATTGATTCATTTTTCTCAAGGCAAATTTTGACCTTCTCAAATACTCGCTTATTAATCCTGACTGTTTTTATACGATCGTATGTATGTCCATTCCCTAACTTATTAATTACGTGCCTGTAACTTACTTTTGTCTGGCTATGAATATTGAATTACGTTGGATGAAAACGAGTTGGTTCACTCGCCTCCTCCGCTACGCGTCACTTTTTCCTCCTTCACTGCATTTCTCTGATTATCTGTTCAGATCAACGAGTGTATGAAATACACTTACTTGTTACCCCCCGTCGAGAAGCATAGGCCACTCACCAGCATTCTCCATCCAACTCCGTCCGCTAAAATCTATTCCAGTTCCAATTCATCCTTTTCATGCCTGCTCCTATTTCTCGATGTAGTGTGTTCTTCGGCATTCCTCTTTCCATTTTCAATTCAGGATACCAAGTTAGCGCTTGTCTCATGGTAAAGTTTGATGATTTCCACAATGTATGTCCTATCCAGTTTCAATGTCTTTTCCGAATTCCCTCCTCAGCTGAAAGCTGGTTTGTTCTCATCCACAGTAAGCTGTTGCTGATGGTATCCGGCCAACGGACACTGAGCATCTTGTGTAGACAACTATATATATAAATACTTGTACACTTTTATGATGGTTGTGACAGTTCTCCACGTTTCAGCCCCATTCAGTAGGACTGTCTTGATGTTCCTGTTCGTATTTAAGTTTGTGAATTGGATGTTGGTTGACAGTTGTTTTGAGTTCCATATGTTCTTTGTTGTGAGAATACTGTCCTTGCTTTGTCAATCCTTGCCTTTTCGTCTGCATCGGATCCACCTTGTTCATCAATGATGCTGCTAACATGATATGTGAAAGTTTCCACCTGTTCCAGAGCTTGTCCATCAAGTGTGACTGGATCGGTGTTCTCTGTGTTGTATTTGAAAATCTGTATGAAATATATGTATCCAAAAGTTCATTCTTGTATTTGACTTATTTATTCTAGTTATTCCCTAACGTGACTTAAGTCGATAGATATATACGAGGGTTGTCGGTATATATATTTTGATGACAATCAGCATACGATCTAAATGGAGTCAGATATAGAGCCACGAAACTTTTAATTATGAAATCTAACATTAAACCATTCTCACAAATGATATCAAAGGTCAAATAAAATCATGTTCGCAACGTGAATTAATAAGCCAAATAATTATATCATGGATATTTATTGTTTAATAAGTTAAAACGTTCGAGTCAATTGAATTTGCTTACTGATACATACAGCTGCTAAACATCGTACAACTGCATTAGACTGCGGACAATCAGGAAATATAGGCTGTAAAATGTATTTAGCAAATGTCATAGCAATGACAGCCATTGTAGCTGGTCTGGCTACCATCACTTCAATCCACAGACGTAAAAATCCCATAAATGAACCAAACGCTTCAAGCACATATGCATAATCTCCACCTGAGCGTTGAATCATTGTGCCTAGCTCAGCATAGCAATAGGCTCCCAATAAAGAAAAAATTCCACACCCAATCCAAATAATTAAGCTAGCACCAAAACTCTGCATATTTTCTAATATACCAGTTGGACTAACAAATATACCCGAACCAATGATTGAACCGATAATAATTGTGATGCTGCTTACAAGACCAATAGTTTTCTCCATTTTTACAGCAACAATATTATTTGTATTTTCCTTATTATTTACTAGACAATCTTGCAAATCCGGTATGGATTTCGACATTTTTGCTGCTGCAAAACAGCAAAGAGATAAAGGAAAAGATTAACGTAACATGAAGCTGTACTTGCTTACAAATATCTATAACTGGGAAGGGGCCAGATTTAAAATTCCTATTCGAAAACAGTTTATCACCAAACGAGGCGTTATGCTGGCGGATTCATTAAAGTAAGAAATAGTGAATCTTTTTAGATGTTTAGAGTAAGTTATTTCGTCAGAGTTCTTACTGATTAGTCTGATGGTAAGTATTTATCTGAATTTCAACAAACTAATAACGCTTCTAATTTAGTAGTTTGTAAAGTTAAAATTTTCTAATATGGTTCAAAAACGCATACAATTAGTTCTTCGTCACTTTAATGAAACACCTGATACTATTAGACCGTAACGAAAATTCCGTAATCAAAAAATACTAATGATTACTTTTCCTCGTCTTTGAGCGACGCTATGATGGCCTTGGGAATGCCTACCTACTTACTAGGGTTGAATGAGAGTCATAAGCCAGTGAAAGGAATTAGGATTGTGACTTACAGTAGACGGTTAGGCTTAGGAACTAGTTTTAAGGTTTTCATTACAAAGTGATATCAGCTAAAATGCAAAAACGCTATTTAGTCAAATAAGTAAATGGATTTCACCCCAAAATCCAAGACCTTGTAGTGTTGGTTACTATTTTAAGCCCATATAACGTATTCTAACTTCTGAACAGGTTGGTTTATTCATTCTTCTTGAGTCACGTTTTGACCTTGTTAATTATTCAACCCTGACGGCCTTCATATGAGCGTGTGTGAGTACATCTCATCCTACTCATCACATGTCTGTAGCTTATTTTTTGTGTGACTATAAATATTGATTAACGCTTGATCAAATGGAGTTGGCTCACACGCCTCCACCGGACGTCACTTCGTTTCGCTGTAAGTTGGCTATCGGATGTGGTACATTTATGCTAGGTGTCATCTATCGGAGCCCAATCTGCTTAGCTGATGACTTTGTTTTAGAGCACATTCATCTTTGGAGTGATAATACCAGGTGCTTGATAATAGGAGACTTTAACGCACCTGATATTAGTTGGACTGATATGACCACAGAAGGATCTATAAACTCCTTTGATATTAGGTTCCTGATAACAATAATGGAGCATGCATTAGTGCAGCATGTATCCAAACCCACACGTTTTGGTGTTAACCAAGGTTCTTCTCTGTTGAACTTGGTAATCGCTCATGAGACTGAGGATATTGTCGACTTGAATATTCTTCCACCGTTAGTGAATAGCAATAGCGATGTTTTGTCATTTGCGTTTAGAACTAGGGACATGTTATACGATCAGGTTACACCTCGCCCAAATGTATGAAAAGCTAACGTATCAGCCATTCAGGAATGCGCTGCTAAGACAGATTGGTTTGTAGATACTAGCTTATCAGTTGAAGAAGCATGGTCTGTATTTAAAGGTATGTTTAGCTTAGCTACGTCCTCGTTCATACCATACCTGGTACCGCGAAGACCGAATAACAGTCCACCATGGATAACTAAAACGGTCAGGAAACTCCTTAGAAAAAGGAAGAATCACTGGAATATGTTCATCTCTACTGGCTTAGAACAATACAGATCCAGTTATTGTAAGATTAGGAATGTCTGTAAAGCGTTAATAAGTAAGACTAGACTATAATATGAAAAACAATTGGTTAGGGATTCTAGATATAGTCCGAAACGGTTATTCTCGTAGATAAAAAGGCGAACTAAGAGAAGCGATGGAATTCCATCACTTTTAATACGAGATAATCCGTTAATCTTAGCAGAGAATGATGCCGAAAAAGCTGAAGCTTTATCGGAATATTTCAGTAAAGTGTTTTCTATCGGTAAGGAAGAACGACCAATGATTCATTTTGATCGCGGCGGCTCGCTGATGTACCCTGTAGTCATTGAGAAAGGTACTGTTTTAAGGCTACTTCAGCATCTCAAACCTGATAAGTCCAGTGGTCCTGATGATATTCATCCTAGGATTATGAAAGCCATATCAGGTGTAATTGCTGAACCATTAGCGATACTGTTTGATATGTCTCTGAGACATTCCAGACTGCCTAGAGACTGGAAAGACGCCATAATAAGTTTGGTGTATAAGGCTGGGAGTAGAGATTCAGTTAGTAACTATAGACCCGTTAGCTTAACTAGTGCAGTTGTAAAACTGATGAAGAAAATCATTCGGATATCCGTTCTAAACTATGTTGAAGGGCATAATCTTTTCTCCAGGGCACAACATGGTTTTCGGAAAGGCCTATCTTGCTTGGCAAATCTCATTGCAAGAGAAGATTGGGCTGCTGCAAAAGATCGGAATGTTCCTGTGGATGTGATTTTCATAGATCTAAGTAAAGCCTTCGATAAGGTCTTCCACTCTGGTCTTAAATTCAAACTGGAACGTTTTGGAATCCATTATACAGTCGTGGATTGGATAAGTAGCTTTCTCCATGACAGGAGACAAAGGGTAAGCGTTAGTGGGGCTCTCTCCTCGTGGGTACCTGTAAAAAGTGTGGTTCCAGAGGGTAGAATCCTAGGTCCTCTTCTCTTTTTCTTTATGTAAATGAATTGCCAACTTTAGCAAAATCATCCGTTCTACTCTTCGCTGATGACATAAAGATTTGGAGACCCATACATAGTATGTTGGATAGAATGGTATTACAGGATGATCTTAGCTCATTGGTGGCATGGTTAGACAGGTGTTCACTAGAAGTAAATCCTAATAAGAGTGTAGTGATGCAGTTAAATAACTCTGATGAATCGTATCACTATACACTACGTGGATTTGTGCTACTAAAGGCAAGAAAGTATAAAGACTTAGAAGTCATATTAAGCAATGATCTCAAAACCACTAGTCACTGTAAAGCTGCTGCTGCAAAAGGCTATAGGGTATTATGGTCAATTCGTAGATCTTTCCTGTATTTAGACGATGAAATGTTTAGATTACTATACCCGATTTATGTGCGACCACATTTAGAATACGATATTCAAGCAGCGTGTCCTTGTTTCAAGTATGAAGCGGATATTCTGGAAAGAGTCCAAAGACAAGATACTAAGATGGTACAAGGTCTAGCTGGCCTATCTTATGAAGACAGACTGAGATACCTTATTTCCTTTATCTTACCGTAGAATACGGGGTGATCTAATATTGGGTTATCGTATACTGAACGATGACCTTGTTATTAACATGTCTTATCTCTTGCTTTCGTCTAGAACCGATCATTTGAGAGGACATTCGAAGAAAGTTCAAAAACCGAGATGAAATCGTTTACGTCTGGAGTTCCGTTTCTCGCACCGAGTAGTGAATTACTGGAATTCTCTACCGGAACACGTAATATAAGCACCTCTGTTAACATATTCAAAACGAGATTGGACGTCCACAGTATTACAAACTGCAAGGATTAATATAGGTCGATAGACCTCCTATCCTTATTACTGAAGACTGAATAGGAGAATATGGTCATGACAAACTGATTTCGTAATTTATCTTCGATACTATTTGCATTTTTATCTGATTCTCATAATCTGTGCATTTGCTATGAGTGACTGTAAACGTTTTGGCCCATCACATATGCGTATAAGACTAATCCTCTAAATTTTCCCCACAATTGGGAGGTCGGGTCAGAAATTTCAAAAACCAGATAGTTCGAGTTCAAAGTGTCATTCTCTCACTAAGCAGTTAAGTAGTAAGTGCAAAAATATGCGATTCGTTTTAGTTCAATACAAGTTCTCATGTCAGCTGTATACAGCACGGAACAACGTTGTGCCGTTAAGTATATTAACTTGTTAAGAACCGACAGAAAAAAATGAAGTTATCTCAAACGCTTATGAATAAAAGGAGAAAACTAAATCTCTTATGACATACGGTACGGGTATCTCGAAACTTGCCTCTGGTCCCGCGAAAACCTGCACTAACTTTTAAAAAATAATGTAAATGTTAAATATGCCAAATTGACTCAGTACAACAAACACTCCCAAATCCCAAACTTTTCTGGAAAGAACTAAATGATTTTTGACTACTAAGGATTGATTTATGGGTTGTAAAAGAAGAGTCTTCGATAAAGAGAAGTCTTATAATCGTCACGGGTTTTTATGAATATAAGATGTGTGCTTTAAACAAAATGATGATTTTCAAATGAATAAGGATTATGAGTTGTCGTACTACTACTTAAAAATTCTGAAATACATAAATTTAGTGGTCAGATTGATATTCATTCTTGAATTATCACAGCTATGGAGGATTTAATCGCAAAATCATTTCCGATGACATTTAGCGATAAATCCACGAAATAAATGGGTCTGTAAGTGTTCCACATTGAGATTGGCCTCACTAGTTTCACTGTACACACCTTGACTGAAGAAGTTCGGTTAAGCATCCTCATCGGATCATTAGTGGGTATGACTAGATACTCACCGCTTGTAACTACTGACTGCCATAAATCAAATGCTTCTCAACATATCGACAACCTTCCAAATACATCTTCGGACTCGTTTATGCACGACTTCTAAATTGACTGGATTGACATTCTTTGACGAAAAAGGTGATACGGACAAATACGTTGTTCCTCATTAACTAACGCAAAATTACTAAATGAATCAGAACCAATCCCAGTACCTTCCTGTGAACATACTAATGTACACTACAGTGTACAGAACATTTCTAAGGCAATTAGCACACTGAAACACTTCTATACTGATGGACCAAATGGTATTCCGGCTAGCGTGCTAAAAATTGGAGGCGATGATATGTGTCTTTTACTTATTAGACCATTTGTGATATCACTCTCCACAGCGTGTTACCCTACTTCCCAGAAAACTACACATGTCATTCTCAAAATTAAGACAGGAACTGAAGCAAATGTTGAAAATTATATGTCCATAAACATGACCTCAATGGTATCTAGAGTGATGGAAAAAGTAGTTAAGGCGGCAGTATTCCAACATCTAATTACTAACAATCTCATTTCAAACTCCCATGGGTTTCTTCGGTCTAGATCATGCGATACATTTCTTGTAGATTACGTGGACGATATCTTTGTAACGGAACAACAGACTCTTTGCATCGGTTCTATCCCCAGACTTTAAGAGATATTTTGTTAAGCTCCTACACAAAAGGCTTCTCGTCAACCTAAAGTTCTTCGGATTAAACAACCCACTGTACTCATGCTTTGCTCTGTTCTTAGCAGAAAGTAAACATGCGGTAAAGTATAATGACTCTCATCACCTAAACCAATAACTAATGAAGTCATCCAGGGGAGTGTGTTAGATCCACTCTTGTTTCTTACGTATATAAACGATATATGAAGTGACATAAAATTTGGGAAACCATACTTATATGCTGATGATCTCAAAATAGTATACAACTATAAGCCTGAGACACTAAGCGAAAGTGTATCCCAGATCCAAAAAGACCTCAGTAACTTAACCATATGGAGTGAGAAATGGCAGTTACCATTTAACCTCAACAAGTGCGGGATCATGCACTTTGGAAAACATCCCTATAAACCTCAACTTCACTTAAATGAAAGTAGAGTTCAAACGCTCAAATCAGTACACGATCTAGGAATTTATTACACAGGAAGCCTGAAGCCTGAAGAACATGCCTCCTCTGTTATTTATATATCTAGACGGCTAATTGGTTTCATAATGAGAAATTTCTTCACAAAAGAGGCTAAGCTTATTCTCTACAAAATATTTGTACGGCCTTCCCTTGAATACTGCTCTTTTGTCTTCTCTAATATGAATATGACAGGAAAGATAGGGGTAGAAGATGTTCAAAGACGCTTCACACGCCAACTGCTAGGATGTAACTCGAATCTTGACCAGGGGATCCCTGTTACGGGAGAACTGAAGACATTTGGCGGATTAAAACCTTTTATTGTACATTAATAATTTACTGTGCTTTTGGATGTAATTGTTTTACTTAACTTTTGAACTTGTTTGTTTATATCATTACTTCGGACATTTTGGTTTGTCTTTGGTTTGGTATTTTGGTGCTCTCTTTGTCTTTGGTTTGGTATTTGGGAGTTTTGCTCCGGGAACCTACAAAATTGAAGGTTTGTTTTGTAATTGTTATAATTATTGTTATTAGAACGACATTTGGTCGATTACTTGTGAATTACGAATACATTTGGTATCTAAATTGGGACTTGGTTCTGTTGTTAATTTGGGTTCGTAATTTGCGAGTAGATCGATAGTCCGTACTTCAATAACTGGAACGAGCAAAACTTGGACGTAACATAAAGTTCTTCAATTATTGGTTCAGTGTTCATACCTTGGATTTGTCTGGATATTTGGGTCCAAATTCCTGGTCTTATTGGTCGTTTTGTTTGGATTAATTCAGATTTGTTTTGGTAATTGATTATTTGGAACAACAATTACGATGGAAACACGGAGCAAAAGGCTGAAGGAAAATGACGAATTGGATGGTAAAACTTCCAAAGCTGTTTGTGGTATGTCTGATGTTAATGATGATAAATGTGATGATGTTAGTCTTAATAGTATGTCCTCTAGCCAGCTAAGTACTTCTAGATTAAAATTAGATAAAGCATTACTGAGGAAAAGGAATTTAGAGAAGAGACTTGAATTAGAACGGCAACTTAAGATGTTAGATCTACAAGAGGAGGTTGATATCGCTGAACTAGAATGCAAGGCCATCGAGGACGATGAACGATTACCTGTAGATAAATGTGGGATAAATGCCAAATGTCTTCAGTTCTCCCGTAACAATCCCACCTCATCAATGTTGGTAAATAAAAAAATCCTACAACACAAATGGTTTATTTGGAAAGGAAGAGAATAAAGAAATACGGTATATAGGAGTGATCGAGTGCTATATGTGCTAGACTCATTAGGTGCATCAATCAGTAAGTCAGTTACAACTTAGGACATGGGACGTATGTACATCGGTTCAAGTTCCCACACTCAAATAACCAAATCCCAGAATGTTAAGGATGAAACATCACTGGTGGAGATTGAAGGATCAAGGATTAATATATGACTCACGAAAATATAAACTAGAAAAACAAAAACCAAAACTTTTCAAGAGATTGAGGGGCTCAGAGTTTACGGAAAAATAAATCATGAATTCATCAATCACCTGGTGTAACCTAATGCAATCCGAACTTCGAAATTAATTGAATTTCAAGTCCTTTGAGGTAGTTGAATTAATCCTCTATCCGCATGTCTTTCGGTAGTGAATCTCACGTTTTATAGATTGCAGTCACGAAGGACACATTTCGAAGAAGCTAATGACATTTCCTATGAGTCTAACATCTCATAAGAATAAGTAATTTTTCTTTTCAACAATTGGCTTGAATCTCTTCTGAGCACTTAGTCTCTGGGTGCGACCGCCATGAAATTACCTACAAACGGACATTTCTTTGCTAGTAATAGCATGAGAACGGCAGCACATATATCTCAAGCTTTGTTTTAACAGCTTTCAAAATTGTTCTTATAATAACAGTAATAATATATTTCTGCATGAGCAGGCCCACACCATTTTTACAGGCATGGTCAACAAATTATAACATTTGTTGGCTCACAGCATGCTTCTCAACTTATTTAGTTTATAATTCTTGTAAAGTAGACTCTTAGAGCGCTCGCTGTAAACTATGACATTGAAGAGACGCGTACGTCAAGTTTGTTCCAGACGTCAGAAGTTCCATAGCTGTGCATTCAGGGCAAGATTCTTAAGAAAGAAGAAAGTGAAACAGAACAGCAGCAAAGCACTTGAATATGAAAGCCAAACGTTGCTTAACATTTTGTAGTAGAACAGACAGAGGTATAATAAATTAGATTAAATTCATATTATCTCTCGTTAGGGTGAAATGAAGTAAGAGGCTCCATATAAGAAAATGTACTAATAAAGGACAATGAGTTGTGGTGTTTAAGAAGTTGGAGTAAGCTCACATGAGAGAGGGGAAGTCAAGGTTGACACACGGAAAGCAGTTTATTAGAAGTTAGTGTGCATATAGAGTTTGAAGTGTTGATATAGGATCCAAACCACGGTTTGAAATGCTGAATGGCCTTCCAGGTACGTTAGACATGAGCCCTTGCCCGTCAAAATCAAAACAAGTAATTGAGTAAATAGCGGTTCTATAATTCATCATAAATTTAATGTAAATCGTTAACTAAACAAATATTACCACCCGGCTATTCAACCAATAATTGTTCTTAAATAGAGCAAGAACAAAGATTGATGCAGAATAATATGAATTCATTTTATTTCGTTAGGTTCTCATCAGCTGCTTACAACCTAAATTATTACAGATATTGACATATTTATACATAAGAGTGTGATGAAGGATCAATACATGTGTATGATGATGTAGCAAAGATTCAGATAGAGTTAATGAGCTCATAAAATGTTTGATTCCAATAAATAAAGTTAGAGAGGGAAAGTTCTGGAACAATGAAGTAATGATTAGAACTCATGAAAATAGATTAATGGTAATAAAGAAAAATGGATTGAAATCAATCATTTATGTATGATGTAATTTAAACTTCAGAAAGAGTTGCAATAATGACGCAATAAATAAATAAGTAGGAGCAAATGAATAGAAAGGGTGGCGGTTATTGTTACCAGGATAAAGAAAGATTTATTACTGTCTCTTTTTGTATACATAGATCTGGTTTTAAACGTTTGATTGCTAACGCTTCAGCGAATTTCAAAAGGTTCGAGTTTGATTGTTTGTTAATCACCTTGAAGGACTTCAGTATATCAACTTCATGTCCTGTATCAAGGAGATGTCTTGCGATAGCACTGTTGAATGCGATCAATCCATTTAACCTTAAATTTTTTGGAATATGTACTTTGAATCGTTAGTAGGCTCCCCTTTCTGTTCTACCAATGTAACTGCTTTGGCAGGCACATGTAAATCTGTATACACAGTTGGTGGTAACATGAAAGAGATACCTGTCGACCCTTGATTGTGTCAAAGAACATGTTGTTTTGGACAAGACAATCAATTTCTCTGCAGGATAAGTTCTTGTCAGTGCAGTTTTTAGTCTCATATTGATTGATCCTGTGACATCGTCACCTTTGAATTGAAGTTGAATAAAAATAGGCTTTTTATTTGCTGTAATTTCTTTCGGTTTTTTATCTTCACAGTTGCCGTATTTCTCAATAAACTTTAGTGGGTATCCGTTATTCTTTAAACATTTTTTAACACTCATAACTTCCTTTTCTAGGTATCGGAAGTACATATTCTTTCTGTTCTGTAAAACAGTGTTTTGACCAGTGCCTTTTTGTAACTGATTGGACAAAAGCTATTGAAATTAAGATAACTATCATTCCATGTGTCTTTCTTATAAACTGAACGTTGAACTGTACCATCCTTTCTTCTTTTCATCGCGATATCGGGAAAATGGAACTTGTTTTCTTTTTCATGTTCCATAGTGAAATGGATATTCGGATGTGCTTCGTTGAAAAACTCTAGCAGATTTATTGCATGTTGTTTATTATTACATACGATGAAGGTATCATCAACATACCTCGAATAATACGTCATTTCATCAATCGCTCGTTTGAGTTTGGTTCTTTCGAGGTTAGCCATGAAAATATCTGCTAGGACAGGACCTAACGGACTTCCCATCGCTACACCGTCGGTTTGTTTGTATATGATATCGTTGAACTGGAACTGTACATCTTTTGTACAAATGAGTAATAGTCGTTTGAATTCTGGTACTGGTAGAGGTAAGATGTCAGAATGTTGACAAATTGTGTCTATGGTTTCAAGAAGTGGTATTTTTGTGAACAATGATGTTACATCAAAAGAAACCATAAACTTACCAGCAATATTTATGTGATTCATGCTGTCAGCAAATACAAATGAATCCTTTAGTGTATAGGTGGCTAATCGTTGACGCACTGGTTCTAACTTATCTGCCAACCATCGTGCAACTTTGTGGTATGGTGAATTGATCATTGACAAAATAGGTCTAAGAGGATAACCTTGTTTATGTATTTTCGGTAATCCATACATGTGGGGCAAACGAGACCCACGAGGTCGTAGATTATTGTAGGTAGGTAAAAATAATATATTTGTAATATCCCAATGAGTAGAAAATTGGATTTTCTGACGTTTCATGATTTAGTGTCAGTCACTTCTTCAGAGAATAAATAACCAAATTAAAATAATCCAAGTTTAAATAGTACAACGGAACAATGCAATAATAATATTGGATCAATCAAAAACAGGTCTGAACACGTTGATGTCTTGTCATTTCTGTCAGGGTGATTCATAAGTGATATGTATGTAAATTTGTGTGTGTATATATATGTGCATTGTTTAAGAATGAAAACTTGTGTGACCTTTATGGTAAGAAAGGATAGAGTTTAAATTTGTAATATGATAGTGTGAAATTGCGAATACGATCAGACTGAATGGTTAGGATAGATGGTCCAAGTAGGATGTATGGTAAGACCTTCCTTTCGATCTGTACTGCATAATAATAAATCGGGTCTGTGCAATTGAGAAGAATATTGAATTGAGTTTAAAGAAGGAAATGGAGAAAATAAGGGAATATAAATAAAGGAGACGTGAAATACGCAAACAGTCTAATAGGCGTGTTTATGAACACAGGACAAGAATAAACGACTATGTGTGTATCGTTAAATTAGTAACAAAAATAATTTAAAAAAACAACTTATAATTGCAGTAAGATATGACGTTAGAATGAATGTTTGTGCAGTTATAGTTTGGAGTGATGCGATGAAAGTTACAATTAAATGAAAAGGATAATAAAATATCAATATGTATGAGTAGTCATATATGCATAGTGAAGATAAAACGGGTCTGAGAAGTTAATTTAAGTGTAACACAAGTTATTGTCTTAATTACAAACTTCGTAATCTTAAGAATAATATTTATTTAGAGGGAAAGAAGAGAGACAAGAGAAGTGAACACTTAGTGAAAAGTTTTGATCCACGATAAGAATAATAATTGTGTAATGAATATCAACCTCAGAAGGAAACCAACAATTTAGAAAAATAAAACAAAAATCCTTTAATGCACTCGGATGAATACATTTAGATTTATGTAATAGTATACAGAATGAAACCGGATATTAGTATAAATATTTGTGCAATAATAATTAAGATTGATGCTATGAAAGTCACAGTTAATTTCAAAGGACAATCTGGAGTTAAATATGTTTAGAAGGATAAGAAGATACAAAAAGAATATCTAATGTGTCGGGGAACTAATAATGATATTAATAACGGTAATAATGATAAACACGAACATAATCAGACTTCATATATTAAGATAAAGAGAAATAAAACAAGATAGATTTGAAAAGATTTAAAGGTTTTATTTTGCTTTTCAAGCAATTAAATGGATGATGGACCTTGCTCGTATAAATCATTATTGAATACATTGATATTCAATAGGTGACATAATCCACTTTCGGAAAGAAAATCTTCAAGCAGACTTCTGAACCGGGTTGTACTTTCACTGCAACGGAGGTTCACTGGCAGTCTGTTCCACATCGTTGAGTAGCAAATAAGGAAAAAATTCTGACGTAAGTTTGTGTGGGCTCTTGGAATCGCTAGAATATTCTCCTTATTGCGTAGATTGTGGGATGATATCATAAGGTATGAAGGGGTGGATACGGAGGAGTAGGAAATACCGTTAATAAGCCGGTAGATAAAGGCAAGATTTAATTTGATACGTCTGATCCAAAGAGGTTCTAAGTTGAGTTGTTGACATCTTTGGTAATAGTCTTTGTTATCGGAATACCCCAGAACAGCTTTGGTGAACTTTCTTTGAACACCTTCAATTCTAATCAGGTCATTATGTCTACAATTACTGTAAACTAAAATACCATATTCAAGAATGGGTAAGATACATTTTCTGTATAGTAACAATCTCAATTCGATATTATTAAAGTTTATCATTATCAATCCGATCAGCTTTCTAGCTTTAGATACTTGAGATATAATGTGTTCAGAAAAGTTCAGACTATTGCTATATCTTAAACCCAGGTCACGAACAGTGTTGAGAGGTTTGAGTGTATGTGTCTGTACAGTGAGATTTAAGTTAAGACAGCGACCAATGTGAATAAATCCACTTTTGTCAACATTAAGTGGCATGTTCCACGAAATAGTCCATTCATACAACTTGTTTATTTCCTCTTGGATTACCGCTGAAATATAGCTTTCTTTCGTGGGAGAAGAGAATGAATATACTACTTTCAGGTCATCAGCAAAAAGGAAAGGCTTACCATACTGAAAAAGGGAATACACGTCATTGATAAAAAGGAGAAAGAGTAATGGACCAACCACACTCCCTTGTATAACCCCACTGGTTACATTCACAGGTTTAGAGTAGCAAGATCCAAAGCGAACGATTTGGCTACGTTCTTCTAAAAAAGATTTGAGCCAAGATAAAAGG